CCAAAGTATTTGAAATACTTTCTCTCATTTAGGTTTCGTCAAATCATTAGTCCGACCGAACATGGTCGTTTTACTGTAACTAATCTGTATAACACAGTGTATTTCTGAAGTTTTGGATAAAAGAAGTCAGCTTGATGTTATTTACACTGACTTATCCAAAGCATTTGATAGTATGGGCCATGTTCAGATATGAAATGCTGTTTTAGAAATTATATTGTGATAGTTACTATAAAAGTTATTCTAAATAAACAGTTGGTTAAAAGAGCCAAAAGTTTTTAAAGTATAACCATTTATAATTTAAAATTTAAAATGTGTACGTCATCGGGAATAGACCAATCAGTTTGTGTCGAAGTTTTGTTATACAGAACCAAGCCAACGAACCAACCGACACGGTGACCGGAAAAAAGCGCCTACCAGTGGGCTTTGACGAGTTATGATATTGCAAAATTATGGCAACCCTGTAGACCTGGTGATTTGACAAGGTCAATGAAATAGATAGTTACATAGATTGATTATCCATATTTTTCAAAATAAACATAAGCGTATGCCTTGAAGTAAAAATGTAAGCAATTATTTTTTTTTAAATATCTAAAGGCTAAAAATTGGTTTTAAAACACATTTTTGCTAAACCGATTCAAATTAATAAATATTTGCCAGGCAATATGGCCGCTCGTAAACGACCAGCTTTCAGCAATCTATATAACTATATATGTATCATTGACCCTGTTAATGACAACATGATAACAGTGTTGCCATATCTAAACTGTCATTACCCACTGGTAGCCATTTGGACAGGTCGTTGGAATGCCTAATTGGTTTAATTTTATTAATATGATTTTGTCAGCTGGATTTACAAAAGCTGATTCAAGTGTTTAAACCAAGCTATGCTTACTGACTTTTAACAATACTCGGTTTATAAGTGCCAAAGTTAGGAATGTTTAGTCCACGGTTCGTAGACTGAACGATGGCCTTGTCAGGTTGTTAGGGACGGGAGTGTGAGGTTACAGAATGAAAAATTAAGGTGACAGAAAATATTCTGCTGCGATTCGCACATTATTTTTTTTTAAATCTAATATTTTATTATTATTTAGTGGTGTTTATATTTTTATTTTTGGACTATTTTCCAGTTTTAGAATTTATATAATAGCGGTAGTTTGATTTTTTGAAAAACAAGCCACAAAATGGCAAGGAAGAATTATGTAACGATTTTCATAAAATTTCAAATACATTACTTTTTATTTAAACTATAAAGAGAAATATTTTTGTCAATAGTTTGTTTTAAACATTTTGGGTTAAGGTGCCTCCAAACCTAACTCGGACAACATTCTGTTTATACCCTGAAATAATTTTAAGTGTTGGCATGCCGGGAGCGAGCCGTAGGATTGCTGTTTGCAAATACAATTTTTACATACAAAAATCACTACAAACAAATTCTTGATTATTGGTATTGACACTATAACAGATCAGACGTACATTACTGTTGCATTGCATTTGTTGGTTATTAAGTGACTTTTTTTGAAACAATGAATCTATAAATATAGTAAAAGTTTAAACATAAATAATACTTTTAAAAACATTGATATTATATGTTTAAAAGATATTTGTTTAATAACATTTTGGAAGTCTAAAAGTAAGAAAGTAGACACAAAGAAACGTATATTACTTCTCGTATACCGGCAACGTTGTGCCGCTATTTCCTATTGGTCCGATCCCGGCTACGTTATAAATTTAAAAAAATTAATAACTGGCAAATGAATGGATAAAAAAATTAATGTAGCTTTATTTTGAACTGTATTATTAATAAATAAAAAATCCGAAATTTTTAAACATGCCCCGTTGACCACAAACTTCTAATAAGTAAACTTTCAGCAATTGGATTTCATGGCTCCTTACAGTCATATTTATTAGAAAGTTACCTTTACGTTCAGTGCTTAGGAGACAAATCAATGAATATCAAACCTCCGGCATTCCGCAAGGTTCGGTTATGGGACCTTTACTATTTTTGCTTTTTATTAACGATATTGTTTGTAATTTAAGCGTCACAAATCTATTGTTTGCCAATGACTTAATTTTTTTTTATGTAATCTTTACTTAAAATGATTGTCTATTGCTTCAAGAGAATCTCAACTGCTTAAACGAATGGTGCAAAATAAATAAATTATCGTTAAATATTAAAAAGTGTAATGTAATGACATTTACTAGAAAGAACGCGGTAATACTATAATTATAATTTCCAAAATACTATACTACTAAATCGACCAGAACTGATTAAAGATCTTGGTGTTTTCTATGATCCAAAATTAACGTTTACATCTTGCATTAAAAAAACAACTTTTGCTTATCGAATCGAATGGTTTTGTTATAAGGAACATGAGATTATTCAAAGATTTCTCAACAATGAAAATCTTTTCTCTTCACTGCCCAGACAACACACCAAATCCCAGAGATATCCGCAGAATATCTTTTGTGAATATCCAATATATCCACAGGATATCAGAAATATTCCGTGGATCTAATATGGATATCCAAATGTCCGTCTATATCCAGGATATAGAAGATATTCCAGAAAATACAAGAAATCACAGAGATATCCACAGAATATATTTTGTGGATATTCAATATATCCAATATGGATATCCAACCATGTCCGTCTATATCCCAGGATATAGAAGATATTCGGATATTCAGTAAAATATTTTATGGGTATCTTTAGTAGAGGTTCATAAGTAACCAATGATTATTGAATAACGTCGAAAGAAAATAGCAGAGATAAAAAATATTTTCAACACTCTGCCTTTGATTTTGCCCACTAAGGAGAAAGTCATCCTTATTAGGACTCTTCAGCAATAAATGGAAATTCTCGACTCCAGTCTCTAATGGAGTGATTAGGACACACATTTCGATCGAACTCAATTACGGCGGGTCGAGCATGAGTAGATGCGATAGTGGTATCGCCATCCATACTTAGTAAGCAGAATCAAATAACATCTAGTGGATATCCACGATGGTTTGCGTTCGCGCCTAGACTTTGATATATTTAGTGGATGTTCATGAGATATTGAATACACCTTAAAAAAAATTAATTTTAAATATCTAAACGGTACTATTAGCCACAATGGCGAGCACAATGGCGTAATTTTTTAATAATTTGCTATATAATTACTATTATTTATGGACATTTGCATGTCTATAAATCACATTTCATGGATATAAAATAGATATCTACATGGACTGGACATTCAGTGGATATTGGGATATTCAGTAGATATCCAAAGGATTTGGTGTGATGTCTGGGTGGTTTTGTCAAAATTAGAATATGCCAATATCGTTTGGAGTCCGATATACTTAAATCACATTAATCATTAGGAAAGGGTTCAACGGGGATTTTTAAATCGGCTTGTTTTTTCAGTGATTGAACCTATCCAATTAGAGAAATTTAAACCGTTTTAATATAATGTGTAGTCTTTTAAAAAGAAGATGCACTCAGTGATATTTTTGGTCAAGTTATTAAATAACAAGGTGGATTGTATTTCATATTTAAAAATGTTAAACTTTTACATGTCTAGAGTTAATTCTCGAAGAAATCAACTATTCTATTAACAAGCATATAGAAAACAAATACATCGCATCGTCTTTATTTCAAATAATCCTTAACTATTCGATCATTGAAGATGATATAAATATTCTTAATTGCTCTGTTGCATCTGTTAGAAGTATTTTTCTCAAATTAATTTGCTCAGCAATTATTAAAGAATGCACGCATGTGTGTTTAAATTCGTATTTATTTAAATTTAAGTTCGTATATACAAGAATAAGCATTTATGTTGACTCCTAATTCTTGTAATATTCCTTTCCTTATCCTGTAATTAGGGGCAACTCTATTGGATATTGTAATAAATAAACTAGAATGATGATATGTAATATTGCTTTACATTCTATAAATATACTCTTCATAGTTTAACAGACCCATCCCCTTTAACCCCATCTTAAATCAAATATTTTTTAGAATCAATACACTTTGTCCCCTTTTCCTAAAGTTTTCAAGTTAATATCGTTTTTGGTGTTTGATTTCTATTTTTTTTAATTACAATCCATCTTAATCTTAATCTTAATCTTAATGTTCACAATTTTTTTTAAAATCAATAAACTTTGTACCCTTATGTGTTTGATTTTTGCTTAAAATTTCAATTTGATCTTTTTTAATTCAGATTTTTTCAGATTTTCATGTTGATATCGCTTTTCCTTTTATGATTAATGATTTTTTTTTATTTTCCTGGGATAATTTAATAATAAATAAATAAACTTTGATAAAATTTACAAATATCAGCCGATTTTGAGCACTCGCCATTCCCTCTCAAGCTATTGACTCGAAAAAAAAAAACGATTATTAAAGTGTGTTTATTCAAGTATAATGCGGTTTTTGAAACATTTTAAACGACCATCGATTCAGTTCATAGCGTTCGCGAAATGAAAATAGTGTAAAACATGAAAGTGTGGCCTCTAAAGAGTAAACTAGGTACTCTAGGGTGGCACTCTCGCGGATTTTTTGTCTCAAATATCCTCTAGATGAAAACTGGACAAGAATTTTTTATTTTAGACTAGCCATTTGCGTAGCGTTCTCAAAAAGTCGAGTTAAAAAAAACACCTAAAAAAATGCAAGCCAGGTAGGTCCGGAAGCAAATGAAAGATACCAATTTGTGGCTTTATTCTAATTTGTTACAGGTAACCCTTGTCCAAAACGCATCATTGCTTGGGCTACTAGGACCATTTTAAAATTGAGAAACTGTTTTGCTCTCTCCTGTAATGGTATTTGTTCACACTAGCAATCCCGATAACATGCCAAGGATATTATGTCTAAACAAGGACTTACAGTTTAATATACTTTATGATTCAGTTTTATAATACCATGCATTTTACAGAGCAAATGGGTCATTTATTTTTTCTTTTTTTGTAATGTGATATTTTACAGTGATTTTAAAGTTGTAAATTTTATTTTTCAGAACATTTCTTTTAAGTCATGCAGCCGAGATTCCGGCCACGGAGGATCTGAACAAGAGGATTCACCAAGATCCCACATGGTGTTGAGCCAGGATCCTGGACAAGGTTCACTACATCACGCTCTCAATACCAAAGACATCCGCCATCATCAAATACTCCAAGAACGTCCCAAAGATTTGGCGAATTTTGATATTTGCCTCGAACCGAATATCTATCCTAAACACCTAATTCTCCCACAAAATTACCATGGGAATTCGAGAAAGAGACCATCTGGAGCCATTCACCACACTTACACGGAGATCTACGACGGTCAGAGTCCAAGAGGAATGATTGAAGATGATCCAGTTTATGAAGAGATAGATAGAAACGAGATCCAGGTATCAGATATGAGCGATGAAGACGGAAAAAGACAGAGTGATATGAGCAGACAATCATCAAGATCCTACGGAGACCACAGGCCTTTGATTCCTTACAGTCCTGGGAACGATAGGAGCTTTACGGAGGTGATGAAACACTATGCCAAAGATCTGAATTACTGTCCAAACAACATGGCTATCGGCATGGACACCTACAGAAGACGCAACATGAACATGGCATACCGTGCAGGGATGCAAGGCGATGCATCAGTGCGCTCCTTAGCGGCTGTTTTGGATGGAGAAACGGTTGTCTGTCACTTGGAACCTCCAGAGATTCAGGATCCCAATGATTCATTTGTCTCACGAACTTTAGTCCTCCCCCCCTATAGTGAGAGTTAAGAGTTTAATTAGGAAACTGCCATTGCAAGTGAATATCTGTGATTACCACATGATCAGACTCTAAGGTCATAATATACATATAATATTTAGTAAAGCTCAGCTTGTATGAATGAAGGAAAGTGATAATTTTATAATAATCGATGACTATTTTATAAAAAGTATTTCTGTGAATTGAATGAATATCTCTATTAGTTGTCAGATTTGTCTCACTCTATTTTAGGGCATATCATGAAAAATCTTTACCCTAGCCAATATTTGTCAATCTTTAGATGTTTACCTCAGAATATAAGTGATTAAAATAACTTTTTAGTAATTCTATTGTAACGGCAATACCTATTTGACTAGAGGGTACCATTTTTCAAGATCTGACCCACTATGCAAAATGTCAAAGTCGGTCCTTAACCAAAAAAAACTATTTTACCGAGAAATTTTATACATATAAAACGACCTTTTTGTAATTAGTATACAGTATTATTATTCTGAGTAGTAATTCACTATAACAACCCATTATTAAAATTTCATACTTTCATATTAATAGTTTCTAAAACATTAATGCGATTTAAGTTTGTGTTAATTACTTTAAATTTAATCATTCAGTTTTGTTTTCAATTTCCACCATTTCTGTTCTTGTCTCTTACCTAAAAAGTTCAGACCTTCAACATTGGAAAAAGATGTGCTTTGCTGTCTGATGGGCTTACTGTCAGGCTCTCAATATTCTCTTCTTGGCCTCTAGAGGGAGCTTTTCAAATAGTAACGGCGGACTGCGTACGAATTTAGCGTCACTTCGATTTTGGAGAATTTAATTTAATTAACTTTGTGTATGTTCGCATTATCCACTGCATACAGTGTCCACTATTGACTACTTTCGAATACGCTGTCAGAGTGAAAATTACAGAGAATTTTAGCATTAGTGCAAGCAGGAAACGAATAATGTCAACGTTGCCGAGTGTGCTATTCCATGTGAATAGGCACACAGTGAGAGTTATGCTCATTCGGCTGGTTGGTTTATTGAAATATTTCGTTTCCTGCTCGTCTAATGTAGTTTTCACTTTGACATTAGCAAAGCTTATTGGAAAGCGTTCAGTAGCAGATACTGTAAGCCAAGTTTCAATAAAAACGGTAGATTTAATATTTTTCTTGTTTGGGACCGATTTAAATGTCTAATCTGACGTATTGAATAGTTGCAATAATTTTGTAATAATTTATTTTTCACACAGCACAGTGTCTGTCAAAAAATAGAATGTGAATTACTTTTATTTTAAATTGTTTTTGGTCTATTTTTAAGTAATTTTACTCATAATTCTATTTCTATTTATTGATAGATATTGAGTGTTTATTAAAAAATGTTTGAAAAGGCATTCTAGACTTTTGTTATATTAAAGGGCAGCTATATAAATTTCCTTTTTTTAAACCCTTTGTAAAACCCCTTCCAATTTGTTTGTAAACTTTTACTGTCTTAAAAATCCTTACTATTTTTCAGTAATTTTTTCAATTTAGGCAGTCGTAAGTTATTGAATACTTTCAAATATATATTCATTGTGTGCATGTGTATATATATAATTGTTAAAGATATTTTACAAAATACTCATCAAAAATAAAACACAATTTCACTACTTATGAAAAGTCACATACTCCCTATTTTGTTGTTTATAAACAGTTCGTACCATAAATACATATATAAGAAATAAATAACATACTCAGTGTTGAATGTATCAATTTTTATTAAATGTTAATGTTTTCAGTTGTTGCAGCTATTTTCCACTACAATTTCATAGTAATAATAGTATATCAAATGTTGATTTTAATTTGGAAGATATTTAATGAAATACGACTAAGAAATTTTATTTATTTGTAATTATTTATGTAAAATTTTATTGGATTATTAAATCGAGTGCTTTTTAAGTTGTAACTTAGTGAGCACAAAACATGTAAATATAGGGATAAAGTTTCTAATATTAAATAAAAAACTCCATTAAAATATGTCTTTGCCTTATACCTAATTTCTTAAAGATCGGAGCAGAAATAAAAATGTTCCATACAGTGGCGTAGTGATACAGTTGGGGGCCTGGGGCGGATCTAGCCGAGGGGCCTATATATATTTAATGAGAAAAATAGATACACAAATTTACCAGGATAATAAAAAGTAGAAACAAATTAAAAAAATTTTGACGAGCCTTGGAGTTCTAAAAATTGTTGGATTAAGTCATCAAAACTCATATTTAGCGATCTCATTTTCAATGGATAATATAGCCAAGCTTTTCAAACGAGACTGGCTCATTGTAAAACGGAGATAGTTTTTAATTAATTTTAGTTCTGAAAAACTTCTCTCACAAGAAGCCACAGACACACAATTAGTAAGAAATAGTGTCCCTTAGTCATGTTTGGTAACGATTAACAAAAGTCCATTTCAATAATAAACTTCAACATTTGCAATGACGTTCATGAAGCTGCATCATCAATTTCTATTCCAGAAGCCTTCAGATGTCTTCTTAGCCTCTTCACTTCTGGTAACATTTCTTCTTCCTCTAAATCATCAAAAGTATTTGTGAACTGATGTATATAAGTTACCAAGTCTTCATTACTTTACCAGATTTTCTGAGTGTACAACAGCAAATTGTTGATATTCATTGTTCATTGATGTTAGTCTCTTTTCTAGCTCTACATGAAAATTATCAATGCAATCTAACATAGCATGCTTCACTTCTTGCTGTGGAGTCAAACCTGCATCTTTAGGTTTTCTCCTGACATATTTTAAACTAGTGTGCGATTTCCTCTTTCTATATCAATTACCAATTTAGCACAAGTTGTGGTTGTATATTCTAAGGCTTTTGGGACCAGTTCTTCCCGACTCTCTTTTAAAAACATTTTTAAGCTTCTCAACTTCAATACACATTTTTCCAAACTAATACCTTCGATTTGGAGATATTTTAGCACTTTAGATAAAATGTGGTACCATAACCCAGACAGCACAAATAAGTCCATTGGACGTCCATTCGATATACAATTTTGGATGTCTGGACGTCTAAAGGTGAGTTTTTTCTGGACTTCCGACGGACGTCCAGTGAAGTATACAAATGGCGCACTTTTGACCGTTCATAGGATGTCCAATTCTAGATTATATTTGGACGTTCAATACTGGACATAAAAAACGTCCATTCCTGGATTATACCATTGAGAGCACATCCCTACTTTTTTTTACGCAACGCAACTCACCACACACTATTTTATATTAATAATTTATAGCGGACACCACTTATTATTTTTTTTTTATTAAAAATCACTTGACCAGAGCAGGTATCGAACTCACTACAGGTCTATTGTCTTTCTGGGCATTCAAACGCTAGGCGACCTCGACCACAGAGCCACTTGAAAAATTCTTACTAAATACGGTATTAATAGAATAAGATTTCAAACTTCCGCTGATAGAATGAAATGTAATAGGTTCAATTTGTCAATTTTTAATGACCAATTCTATTAAAAAAAGGAAGTGTATATAAATGGGTATTATCTGGTAGGTTAAATAAATAATGACCTAAGATGGACGTCCACTGGACGTCAAAATAATACTAAACTTTAAATTAAGTCCAAAAACAGACGTCCTATGAACCTCGAAATGCAGCTGTCAAATTAATGATCGTAAATGGACGTACACTGGATGTCCGAATACGGATATGGACGTTCTGGCCCTCAAATGGATCTAAAATGGACGTCCATTGGACTATGTGTGCTGTCTGGGAAGTGCAAAAAACAAAGAAAATTAAAATTACAAATGTTTGTTTTCAACACCTCCGCTACCCCCTCGTATCTAGATTCTCAGGAGCATCACACAACTTGTCTAGAGCATTAACCAATTTTTCGAAATTTTTAAATATTGTTTTAACTGCATCATGATGAGCACTCCACCTAGTATCACTAAGGAGATTAAAACCCAGCAATGATAAAAGCGATTTCTTTTCATGAGAATAAATTATCCGTTTCCTTAAAATCTTTTCTCTTATAAAACCAATTTGTTGTTAACTGCCTAGTTTGGCCTTTTGGGTTTACCCCAGGCTTCTGAACTGACTCAAAAGGTCCATCCAAATTTTGATAATTTGCACTGCCTCGTCTAATAATGTCGGTTATAAGACCATCTGGGGCTGGAATGGGCCAATTCCCAACATCTAAGTTTAATAATATATACTCCGATTCATCCGCTTCAAAGTGTATCAAAGAATAAGTTTTGTTTTCTTCCCCATCTCTTCCGTCTTCTCCCTTCTCTTCGTCCTTTTCTTTTTCTACTTCTATATCCTTTTCGTCTTTTTCTTCTTCTTGTTCTTGAATGCTTATGTCTTTAAAATTATTTATTGTTTCGGCCTTTACTTGATGAAAATCCATTTAATTTTGAAAGAGTAAAACCAAATTTGGTAGATTTTCACACTTTTATTTTAAAAATAAAAATTTTTAAAAAAACACTAACATGACATATGTTTCGAAGTACAACTTCTTTTTCAAATGTGACTATTTACAATTCGGTATCCAACATATATACGAAATAATTTAACAAAACAAAGTACTTAAGAAAACATCAATAACATTACAAAATAAACTAACTATTTAAAGTAAATAAGGGTACTTAGGTAATTATAATATCCATCAGATAACAATAAGATAGGCCATTACCGGGATTATCTCACAGAAAACTGGGAAAGAGATTTAATAAGGGTGAATTATTAATATCTAATTGATCATTTAGTAAGTTATCTGAATTTTTAAATCTATTTATTTCAAGTGTTTCTAAATGATTTAATTTAAGGCTCTTATTTTCTACATGTAAAATTTCAAAGTTGTCTGTAAAAGAATGATTTTCAGCTAAAATATGGATTTGAGTAAGTAGAATTATTTTTGTTTTTTGTATAGCTATTATAATGTTCGGAATAGCGTTTTTTTGAAAGTACGGCCTATTTAACCAATATACAATTTTGGACAACTACCACAATTTATAATAAACGTGAAATAATTAG